TCTTCAATTCCTTTCAAGAACTCTCTGTGTTGTTCTTGAAAGTTCTTCTCTTTGTAAGATTGTTTAGGTTAGGTTTTCCTTTCCTATCTTCCGCAACAATCTTTTGTTTTTCTGTGTGTATTAATTCTTGATATAAATCAATAAGAATTAAAAAGTTGAAAAAAAATCTGTGTAATTGTATTCAACCCCCCCTTCTACAATTACTTTCTGCTTATTGCCTTACCCTTCGGGACTAACAATTTTATACCTTTAGGAGTCCTCTGGTTTGATCCTCACCATATTGGATTTCTTATTCTTATTTGTTTATTTAGTTCGAGTCTTTCTATCAACTCCATGAGTGTGTTGTTTAAATATCACATGCCTATGTATAAAAAACAAAAGGAAGGCCCCCAATTCCTAACAAAGGGATGCTTGGGTGGGAGTATTACTAAGGTAAGAGATGGGAATTTAATACTTAAAAGGTGATGCTTTGATAATGATCCGTTCTACTTCGTGAATAATTAAGTTTTATATTATTTTCAGTTTTAACGAATGAATCTGAGTCTGTTCAGATATCAATGACCGAGTTTGTTCAGTAATCGCTGAGTAGTTTTAAATGTAAAACTGTTTAGGACTTAAATCCCCAAAAAGACAACTCTTACATCAACGAAACTTCAGCAATGTCAAAGAAGTAGCAGAAGATAAAGATAGTATAGTTATGATCTAAAACAGTGTTTAGTGACACTATGACTATCTGAATGAAATATGAAGCTTGGCCAAGTTATCGGCTATACCTGAAGAAGTCCTCAATGATTCCTTCAATGCTCGATCAATATCTTGCGCATCAAGATATATTTTGTCTTATCCACTAGCACAAAAGTACATATCCCACGGTTCGATCCGAAAATAGTAGGGCACGGTTTACTTTATAGTTCCCAATCGTGCTTACCAATTCTCTGGAGCAACTGTTCATATGCGACCAAAAGACTACATTACTTGATGGACAAGGACATGCATTTCACTCCTCTTTTGACACGTGGATTGTACCTTTTGAGGTACATTAAATGCATAGGGTAGATATAGCTGAGAAGACTCTCCTTCTCAGCAAGCCTTCTTCTACCCTTCTCTCTTATCTTCATTTGTGCAAAGAAATTTTTTATGGTTTCTTTCATATTCTTTACAAAATCTTTGTGTTCTAAGATCAAGATTTAGATTGTTTAGACTAGGATCTTTCATTTGCTTATCTCGCAACAATCTGTAAATTCTTGTGTTGATTTTTTGCAATAATCAATAAAATGAATTTAAAAAGTGAAAAAGTTGTGTTTGTATTCAACCCTTCTACAAACTGTTTGAGGCTTGTTTAAATCCTTTGCGACCAACACATGTTATGTCCAGTGTTCGCTACAACGAGGAGTGAATAGGACAACACTAAACAAGTTGTCCTTAAAAGTTGTTTGATGGTTTTATATATTATATAATAGTTATAAATGATAAAAATCAAGTAAATATCTAAATAATTTAATTTATAAACATTTTTATATAATTTTCATATGCATATATATAACATGGGACAATGGAACAATGAGTTTTTGTCTTGTCGCATGTCGTGCCAAACGTGGGACAGTGACTGGTAGGACCGTAAACAAGAGGGAAATTTTCATGAACTGATCCGTTTACATGGTTGTTACCAGTACAATATTTGTTTTTTTCATGATCATGAATTGTGTACTTGTTTGAATTCTTATGATTTGCTCTGTTGCTTTTCTTTCATTTTTGTTTGTTACTTTTCTTTTGGTGTTGGTTTTGCTCGGTGTAAAATAAAATAAGTCTATGGTTACTTGTTTTGTTGTTTTTGTTCCTAATACTTTATGCTTATACTTTCTATTTTGCTACAGTTTTGACACTATGTTTTTACTACTTTAGAGAACTCATAATATTTTAAAAATACAATAAAAAAAAATACTTTCATTTACTTACATAGG